TGTTAAAGCAGCAGTAGGATGCTAAGATGCAAAGACTATTTGACCTTTTCCCTTCTGTTGGAGAAATTTTAGCTCATTTCACCCTGGGGATAGCTCCTACAGGCCCTGTCCTGCAGTTCATGATGATTAATGCATGGCAATATTAAGGTTAGTGTTAATAGATTTTGTTAGGTGACAAAATTTATACTTCGAATCCATTTTATTTTTTCTTTTAAAATTTTCACTATTGGAAATGATTTCATTTGTGCTCACATTGGCTAGCTGGCTTGCTTAGGTGTGAAAAATGTTTTTCGTTTTCTTATAGCTTAGTTATTTTTCTCTTATTGCTTAGTGTCCAGTGTTTTTGAAATTTCTTTTGCCAGTTTGATTCTTAATCTTTGTATGTACCCTTTAATTTCTCTCTAAAAGTTGATATCATTTTCTTTATTATTGGTGCTTTGATATTTCTTAATTACATACCCAGATACTCATCTTTCTAAATTGTATTTTTTATCATACTGTCTTTCTTTAAATTAATGATTTTATGTGCTGTAAAACTTTCTTAAATTATTTATTCAATAAATTCTTCATTCTTTTTCCATCTTTTCTATAACTTGTTATTTCAATTTGGACCACCTTATAAGGCCCTCTTATGTTCATAGTTTTATTAATTCTTATCATTCTATCTTCATATTATATATTAGTGGAGACTTTGTCCATGTTGTATACCTTTTTATTAATTTTGCTTTGAAGGTATCTGTCACTATTGTTATTTTCTGAAGTTTTCCTTGTGTCCTTGATACTTCTTTCTATGTGTCATTCAGTAACATTTTATTCTTTCCCCCAGATTATGATGATGATAGTTTTTTGAAATTTTTGTTTCATGTATTTGTATTTGTATTTGTTTTGGTCTCTGTGAGAGAGAGGGAAAGAGAGGAAGAGAGGGAGGGTGGAAGAGAGAGACAGAGAGAGAGAGAGAGAGAAAGAGAGAGGCATAGAGAGATGCACACAGAGAGAGACACAGACAGAGAAAGACAGAGACAGAGAGAGACACAGAGGGAGAGAGAGACAGAGAGACACAGAGGGAGAGAGAGACAGAGACAGAGACAGAGATAGAGAGACAGAGAGAGGGCCGATGAACAGGTAATAAATGGAGTTGTTAAATGCTACCTTGAAGAGAAAATACCAGTCATAATGCCTTTTTAGAGCTTGTTATAATTTATAAAGCACCTTTACATACATTTCTTTGTTCCCTAGTCACAATAATTCTATGAAACAGGAGGTACTGTTTTTGTTTTTGACCCTCAGCTTTCATCTCTTACGTCTGAGAAGAATTTCTTCTTCCCCATTGGGTAGTACGGGCCATGAACCTTAAGCAGATGTGGGGCTGCTCCTAGCCAAGGCACAGTTGTGTGGCCCTTCTAGATGCTGCTAGGCAGCAGGCTGGAAGTAGCTGCTCCAACATTTATTCAGGCCGTGTCTTGATAGCGCACAGCTCCCACATAGGAGACGTCTTGGAGCCTCACTCTGTGCTCTGGTGTTTTTTTCTCTGCTTGTTTTCAAGGCTGTATCTTCAAACTTTCTGTCAATTCAGTATGCTCATAATATCTTTCTGATAATTCCATTTTGCTCATGGTATCCAAAAGTGCTCAAGTTTTTTGTTCCTTCTTAGTATATTATTCTTTCTCTCTATCTTTTCAAATGATTTTGGAGCCAATTTGGCTGTATCAAGCACACTAGCCTGGAAGTGAAGCGGTCCAAATTCCAGCCATGGCTGACCATTTAATTAGTGACAGATGAGGCTTTTACTGGGTGGGAAAAGAGAACAGGGGGTTGGGACAAAGAACAATGCTAAAATTCTGTCTAAATATGCTTTCTTAGTTTCTTACAGGCTGGATAATCAGGCTACTGGGAGCACTAAGAGCAAGCAAAGAAATTCCGCTAAATTAAACCCAACAAACATTTATTTAAGGCCAATTTAAAAAACATTTAGAAAGAACAGATAGGGGAAAGACATGTTGGTTGATAGAAAAGGTGTCAGCTCTGAAAACACAAGCACACAAGCAGCCTTCTATTTGGTGTTTGTAGCTGTAAGATTAATGAACAGTTTTCTGGTATCCTTCATTATAGGATTTGTGGGAGGGAGAATTTTTCAAGTAGTTGAAGTAACTTAAGTCATTTTATATTGAAATAAAAGGTTATAGTAAGTTTTATAATACTGTATTTGGATTGATTTTTAACCTAAAACATGAGACCCAAGGATATTTTGTCACTGTGGCTGGAGCTGAGAACTTCACTCTTTCAGTCTCTTGAGAATATCTGCTCAGTGGACTGCTTGTTGGGAGAGTTGGAAAATGACTCTTTGTGGAGAACAAAGAAAAGCTAGCTTGAGAATGTCCATAGGGACGCTCCAGGTATAATGGGTGATGCGTCTGCAGCTTGTGTGGTGGCAGGAGATTGGGGGCAGAAATAGAAGGGTTGAATAGAGCTCTGATGTGTAAGGAGGTAGAAGGGCGTCTCACACATGTGACCTTGTCATCACCACTATGAAAGTTTTTTTTTTTTTTTTTTTTCATCTTTGGATTTCTTAATGTTCAGGTTTTAGTATCTTTTATTGCTTTAAGAAACTGCAATTTGTATTGGTAAGAAATACACATTCAATGGAACACTTCGATCACTCTCAAGTGTTGAAGGTGATTATTTCTCCTCCATAGCTCCAATCTGTCTTTGGGAAAGAGGGAGATGTTGATTTGGCCATGCGAATGCTCTGCTAGTTGATTTTCTTGTATTTTTGTATCATGACATCTATTCCCTTCTTGTATTTGTTCCTTTTATTATTGTTGTGGTAGAACCCTCAGCACATTATGAAGTAGTGCTGTGCTTGTTGAAATCACATTTTTTAAAAAAATTAACATGAGTCCTCCTCATGTTTTATTAGATTTATAATATGAAAGGTACTTACTTGGAAAGTTTTCCTTGATTTAGTGGAGATTCTATAACATGGGAAATTTCTGTTCCTTGAAAATTTGATAAAATTCCACTATAAAGCTAAGTCTGTCTAATAGTTCCCCTAGGAATTCTATCTTTATGACATTAATTCCTTCAATAAAAAAGCTCTACTCAAGGTTTTATTTTTGAACTAACGTTGAGAAATCAGCTAATTTAAGTAGTTCATAAATTTATTAATGGATATATACTTACAGTTTTAAAAATTCTCTCTCTGTAGTTTCTCTTTTCATTCCTAATGTTTACTTTGCCTTTTGAAAAAAATATACTTGTCTTGATTATGCTTATTAGTTTTTCTAAAGGAAGCACTTTATTGGGAAAATTTTAGACATACAAATGTACAGAAAACAGTTAGTGAATCAATGTACCTATCATCTGGACTCAACAATCATCAATATGGGCTTTTATTTCATTCATATCTCTGCAGACATCACCAAATTTGAAATAAATTTTTAATGCATAAATATTTTAGCTTATATCTCTGCAAGGCAGTTACACTTAAAAAGTATAGCAACAATTCAATCACATCTAAATATTGAAGTAATTAATTACTATAAAATATTGCCAGTATTCATATATCCAGATTATCTCATAGCACACATGCACACGTGCATGACCACACACACACACACACACACACACACACACACACACACTGTTGAAATTAGGATCCAAATGCATCTATTATTACGAATGCCTGATGTTTATTTTATTTTTATTTTTTTATTTTTTGTATGTTTAGACAAGGGTCTATAGGGTGCTTAGGGTCTCACTACTAGATCGGACTCATAGTGATTCTCCTGTTTACAGCCTCCCAAGAGCTGGGATTACAGGTGCACACCACCACACCCAGTCTCAACTGCTGTCTCAGCATGCCCTGGGTGG